GAGAGAGAGGCAGAGACATAGGCAGAGGGAGAAGCAGGCTCCATGCACCGGGAGCCTGACGTGGGATTCGATCCTGGGTCTCCAGGATCGCGCCCTGGGCCAAAGGCAGGCGCTAAACCACTGCGCCACCCAGGGATCCCTATTTTTAAAAATTATTTTAAACGCTGACCTTATTATACAAAATGTATCTGCAGGCATGACATCTGGCCTAACATACTGGCTTAACATGTTGGCCAGTAAATAACCAATATTCAAGTGCTATATAAAATATAATATCCTGAGTTGTTTGGAAGTATCTACTCACTCTGTGTAAGGTGCTGCTAAATACAGAATTACATATTGATTCAACAAATATTCAGTGCCCATTACATACTAGCAAGTATAGAAAGAGATACTAAAAGAAGTAATTCAAAGAATTTATAGCCAAGACAGTAGATAAATTAAAACATGTCCATGACTAACACCATTAACAGTACCAATACTACCTAGACCATCTTTCCATTTTCAACTTTGTGTTAATATTCTATGCAAGGCTTTGTGACCACCTGTGTTCTTAGTATATAGTTTTTAAACATTGCTAATGACCAAAAATATTTAGAATTTTAAGTAATTATGTTTTATTTTATTTTATTTATTTTTTCTAAAGATTTTATTTATTTATTCATGAGAGACACAGAGAGAAAGAGAGGCAGAGACACAGGCAGAGGGAGAGGGAAGCAGGCTCCATGCAGGGAGCCTGACGTGGAACTCGATCGATCACACCCTGGGCTGAAGGCAGCGCTAAGCCGCTGAACCACCCGGGCTGCCCAGTGATTTTGTTTTAGAAACAGAGTACATTTTATCTTTTCAGTTTTATGTAGTTAATTTTTTAAAAGTGGGGCCCCACATGGAGCTTGAACTCAAAACGCCACGATCAAGACCAGAGTGGAGATCAAGAGTCAGATGCTTACCTGACTGAGCCACCCAGGCACCCCTAGAAACAGTACATTTTATTTAACTAGATCAACATGGTTGTTTGCTGTGGAATAAACATGTTTGCTTAATTAATGCTAAGGCTTCCTCCAAGTTTAAGATTCTATAGTTAAAACACTAACCGTGGAGTCATCGCATAAGAGGAAACATTGACCAAGTGACTCAGAGTCATTCTTAGAGCTAAAGTACTTCCTAATACATTTTGAGCATGTTTCTGTCTTAGGAGACCTGTCTCTCAGCCCAAAAAGTATGAAATCTGGCAGCCTTTTGACTCCATTAAAATTCAACTGTCCTCAGTCATTACCATGGGTCAGGTTTTCTGAACTCATCTAAAATCTGAGCAAAATATGTATACAAAGCCTACTGCCAACATTTGCCTTATTTTAATTTTAAAGCATGACTCCTCCATTTGTTGATCTGTGACTCAGGCAAGTTACTGCACTTAACTTTAGTTTCCTTGTTCTTAAAATGGTGATGATAAGAACTAAGATTTGTCAGGTTTAAAGGAGACAGTGTTTGTAAAGCACTCAGCAGAGTCCTGGCATATAGTAATATTCCATAAATATTGTCTAGTATTTTGATTGTCATTTCTACTTCCACACAGATAGGGCCATCTTGTCTTCCCACTGAGGAATATTTAATGATGTTTCCATAACTACCCTTGTCAGGGTAATTTTTTGGCAGAAGGCATCGCTGCTTAGAAAGCCTCTCTCCCAGGCAGCCACTGAAGATCTGATATGAACCTGGAGCTGACCCAGTCCAAGCCCAAGCACTTTGTTCCTCACCTCAGCCATACAGGGAGGTAAGAGTCCTATGAGCAAACCTGGCCTCTTCTTTTGTCTCTTTTACATTTTGGGTTTCTGCTTCAGATTTTTATTTAAGAATATATATATTTTTAAGTTGGCTCCACACCCAACATGGGGCTCTAACTCACAACCCCAAGATCAAGAGTCACATGCTCTACTGACTGAGCCAGTCAGGTGCCCCTTCAGAATTTTATTTTATTTTATTTTTCAGATTTTTATTTTTAAGGAAGGGACTTGCAGATACTAACACACACATGAAAAATACTCTTCAATGTGATAAAGCCCAGCTTCCTAAGCCTGCCATTGAAGACTGCATTTTCTGGTGGGCACCTACTTTTCTAACCTCCCTTCTCCATTTCTCCCTTCCCCTTTTGGCACGGCCCACTCCCACCAAAACTGACCTGTTATTCATCATGCATGCAGCGTCCTTCCCATTTACATACTTGAACCTCAGATGCTCCACCTTCTCCCTCTCTCCAAATTCTACTATTTTTCCAGGTTCAGCAACAATGTCAGATCTTTGGAAGGCTTCTCAAAGAAACTTCTTCTCAAAGAAAGTGCTTGGGCTTTGGATTGAGTCAGACCCAAACTTTCATCTCTGACTAGCTGTGTATTTGTGAATTCTTTAAGAAATCAGCACCTGGGGTCTTGTCTTTAAATAAAATCCTAACCTATATAGCACTGATGGGAGGTCTGATTGCACAAACAATGTATATTGGCACTAACCACATGTCTCAGGTATACCAACCATTACTTCCTGCCTCAAACCATGGTCATCTCTTCTACTTGCTTATTTATGGACATGGAATCAGAACAACTCGGATAGCTATTGGGGAAAAACAATTTGAGCTGGATCCCTAGTCTCATTCCTTACATTAAAATAAATTCTAGATGAACCAAGGTTTTAAATGTAAAAAACAAAAACAAAAAAAAAAAAGAGAGAGAAGAAAAAAGAAACATCAACAATAACAAATAAATGAAATAAAAGACAGGCAAATTTACTATAAATTTGGAGTAGAGGGACGCCTGGGTGGCTCAGCGATTGGGTGCCTGCCTTTGGCTCAGGTTGTGATCCCGAGATCCGGAATCGGGTCCTGCACGGGGCTCCCTGTGAGGAGCCTGCTTCTCCCTCTGCTTGTGTCTCTGCCTCTCTCTCTCAGTCTGTGTCTCTCATGAATAAATAAATAAATGTTTTAAAAATATTTGGAGTGGAGGAGGGCTTTCTAAGCAGGATACGACAATCAGAAGCCAACGAATGAAAGGACTGATGATTATAGCTAATTTAAAAATTCCAATGTTTCTACAGGAAAATAAAAGCTATAAAAATTAAATTATATCACACTGAGAAAATAATTTTGCCACATATATTATGAAGAGCTAGCTTTCTTATGTTACTAAGAGCCATTCCATAGCAACAAAAACTGCTGAATATTCCAATAAAAAAATTAGACAAAGTATTTGGTCAGGTAGCAAACACATATGATTAATAAGTGCAAAATGATGTTCAATTCTGCTAACTCAATTCTGCTAACAAAGAAATAGAAGTCAAAGCAAAAGATACAACTTCTAACTTATTGGATGGGCAAAAACTAAAAAGATAATATCCAATGTTGGTGATGGTGTAAGGACACAGGCTTTCTCATGCACTGTTTTGGGGGGTGCAAATTGGTGATACTTATATTAAGTACAACTTAGCAAAATTTATATAAATTTTAAAAATTCCTTTGATTCACTATTTCTACTGCTAAAAATTTAGCTTAAAAATAAATTCAAGACCTACACAGTAATAAGCTAGTTGCAAAACTTTTTGCAATGGAAAAAAAATTAGTTATTTGTTAATAGATGCCTGGTGAATCGAGTCATGATATATAGCAAACATGGAATTCTAGGCAATTATAAAGAGAATGATGCTGACAAGGATATTTCTAAGAAATATTAGGTGGTGGGGTGCCTGGGTGACTCAGTGGTTGAGCATCTGCCTTCGGCCTAGGGCGTGATCCCGGGGTCTTGGGATCGAGTTCTGCATCGGGCTCTCTGCATGGAGCCTGCTTCTCCCTTTGCCTGTCTCTCTACCTCTCTCTCTGTGTGTCTCTCATGAATAGATAAATAAATATATATACAAAAAAGAAATATTGGGTGGGGTAAAAAGTGCAGAAGGAATATGATCCATTTGCATAGATTTGAATTATGAAGTGAGGTGGGTTGAGTGTGTATCAATAAGCATACTCAATTGTAAGTATTTTTCTAGAAAATACATATGAAATGGAGAAGCATTTACTTTTGTGGAAAGGAACTGAGTGGGGAGAAAGGGGCATGTGGAATAGAGGAATATTTTAATTTTATACCTTTCTAAACCAGTCTAAGGCCTGAATCTAATATTCTCGACTTTGTATATTACATTGAAATGGTATATTCATAATAATCAGCTCATGTATTGTGGACATTTGTTCCCAGCTTCTCTGTTAGAACTGGAGAGGCCCAAAGTATTGAACACTGGATAAAATTTATTAACTGGATTACTAAAGGTACAATTTATTATTGTGTGGAAATTCAAACATTGTTTAGAATGAAAAGCCTTCATAGTGAAAAATTGCAACTACTGGTGATGGAAAGGAATAAAAATAAAACATGTGACTATGATGGGAGCTACTTCTGCTTGTTGCAAAGGGAATCAGGAAAGGGTAGATGTAGCCTTAAAATAATTTGTGATGTTTCAGCTCCAACCTGACAAGTGATCCAAAAATGTCACATAATATTTACCTTCAGTATCAGCAGCCAGAATGTTTTAAATCAGCATGCTTACAATTTTTCTTAAAATGTAAACTGAAAAGTGACTTTAAACAAAAAAAAAAAAAACAAACAATAAACAACAACAACAAACTAAACTTTACGCCCAACTTGGGGCTTGAACTCATGACCCTGAGATCAAAAGTTGCATGCTCTACCGACTGAGCCTTCTAGGCAGCCCTGAAAACATGGCTTTATGTGGAGGCTACCACCACCTACAAAATTATGTTTATAAATAAATGAAGTCTATCTTCTAACAATGAATAAGAGGCTCGGTGAGCTTATCAGTTGCCAAAATTTGAATGTATTCAAATTTACAAACAAGAGAAAAAGGTTTTAAGCCTCATGCCAACCTAATGCCCCCCCCCCCACCTATAACTATTACGGGTTGTTTGCACAAATAGGGGATCAATAGGGCTTCCTGCTACCACTTACGTCATGTACGTAAAAAATGTGCTCAGCGGTTCCAGGGAATGATTCCGGAAATATTCAAATTCTCTGCATAGCTTTTTCCTCATCTCCGTGTCAATTTTGGAAACAGTAAGAGGATTTGTTTGATTAGCCAAGAAGTTGCCATAATCAGTGGTCTGGAGATGAATTTTCACATCTGAAATTAAATGAAACCTCAAATCAGATTAAATTTTGAACATGCGTTAAGTAGCTTTTACAACATTAATTGAATTTATTGTGACATTATGATAAATTGCATATTAATTATCTTATTAGACCTTAACATAAAGTCTACGTATGAGTTAGTTTTGAGTGTTACTATCTAAAGCAATAGAAAATTCAATGTTAGTACAGATATTCTAGTACAACAAAAAAATTCAATTAGTCAAGTAATCTAGAATTATTTAACACAGGTGAAAACATTAACAACCACCTAGTCCTAAGTTTACCTGAGCCAGTTGTAGTCATTTGGAAAGAGCTGCTCAGAGAACTGTTGAGAAGGAGTCTAAAGCTTCATCTTGGTTTGATGGAAAAAAGAAGTTTCTTAGTAGTAATTACCATGGGTATGGGAGGTGGAATGGGCAGTCTTCAACAATATCCTTTTATTATAGATGAAGAAATTGAGTCTCAATGAGGCTAAGTGGTGGGGTTTTATAGTAGTAAGGCTTGAATTAGGAGATGGATCTCCTTACTCTTGAAATCGAACATTGTTTCCAGAAGGCCATGCCAGGCATCCTGTAAATGGCAATGTTTTTGAATGCCAGGTAATTGCTGAAGCATTAAGTGGGAGAGAAGGAGAGGTTAAGAAATGAAGCCAGGGAAACAAGCAGGGGTTGTCTCAAGAAAGGCTTGGTATGACTTCCTTTATCCCAAGGATAACCGGATTTCATTGTTGGCTATGAACTTACTGCTGCGGTAGCTGATGAGAGAGTGGATTTGCAATTAGGCCTCAAGTGATTCTTATGTATCTGAGATTCAGTGGACAGGCATTCTTTCTTACTATCTGGAGGAGATTATGTGCCGGAAATATTCTTTATCTGACTGCAGAATTTATTTGCTCAATTAGCTATTTAGTTAACTTGGTTTTTAAAAATTATACTTTTTTTGGCGGGGGGGGGCACGTCTTACTTGGCTTTTATTTTGGCAGCTTGGATTTTTATACAATTTGACAGTTTGCGTTCTTAACACTGAGGAGTATTTGCCAACAGAAGAAATACAAATGTTATTTCTTTCAAAACCATGATATTTTGCTCATGTGGCATATGTTTCTTTTAAGCAAAATAACTTCCAAACCTTTTAGCTGCCAATGATATCCTGAAATTCAACATCTCAAGTATTTCAGATCCCACAGGAATCGTGTAATACTGTTGTCAATGGAGAGGCAAATGAAATAAGAGGAACCCTTTTTTTTTTTCCCAGCACCAAAACAATCCAAGGGACGCTTGCAGGGAGATTCTAAGAACATCTCAAAATCTGAAATGTTTGCTCTGAGCTGACGATAGACTGCTAACAATATCAGCAACGCTTATCATTTTATAGTTTTCAAAATGGGTTCACATAATTTTTTCTCTCCATTTCCCCAAGTGCTTATTTAAATAGGTACGTGATAAAAAGGACTTTGTGGTCAAATGAATTTGAAATAAACAGGCTTCTCAGCTGTAGCAATGGAAAGCCTTTAACACATCACTTTGAGTGATTTTTGAAAAGAGTATGGTACAGAACCTCCCGAGCCCACTGGAAAACAATGGAGCCACCCACGGAGCTCGCTTTGGAAAATTAGACTGCTTTTTTATCCAGAGAAGTGACGTTTTTTTCTTTTTCATTCAAATGAGGAAATGGAAATGTTTTCCAAACTGGGATCACTACAAACTACATCAAATTAATAGGTCCCAAATGGCAAAGAATAAAAGTATTGGATTAGGCTTTTATAACAAACATAAGTGTATAACACAGAGCAGCATATACATATGCGTGCACACAGGGTCATAGTGTAAAAATGTGTCTTCTGTGGGTTGCAGTCACTGGGTTCAGTGGAGTGATCTAGTTGGCTCCTGAGGCAGGATAGTGATCTGGGACATCATGATCACCTTCCATTAATTTGTTGGTCAGATCATTTTTAAAAAATGAGAGCTTTTTTCCCCCTGTGCAGCTTCCTGTTTGGGGCTCTCTAATAAAGTGAATGTCCAGACCTTTCACACTTCATGTAGGTTTTATGCCAAGGAAGCACCCGCAGAGGTACCTGCAGGGGGTGCTATCCTTGAGGCATCCCCTGCCTTTTCCCTACACTCTGCTGGCACTGAACTTAATAAGACATAATCTGACCTTTCTGAGCCCAGTTTCTTCACCTACAAAATGGATATAGAACCCATGCTTTGGGGTTGTTGAGGGAATTAAACAGATGATGTAGGTGAAGAGCCAGCATGTGGAAGCTACTACATAATACTACCTTTTTTTTTTTTCTTCTCACGTGTACCCACCCACTTCAGCAATAATTTATTTCAGTTGGCTAAAGACTTTGGTATTTTTTCTCTAAATCAGAATATTCACAGCTGATGTATTGGCATTGGCCATCAGATCTTATAATTACTCAGATTTTAATATATATACCAATATCTATAAAACTGGAACTTCTCCCTCCATTTTTTGCTAATTTACTGCCATCCTTACAGTGATAAAACTTCAAGTCCTTTTTGGTGCTTTCTTAAGCCAAATCCCCTGCCTTGTTCCTTCATGTCTTCTCTGGTTTCCACTCTTCATGCCCTTGGTTTAGAATGGCCACCTGACATCAAGATTACTGCTGTGAGCTCTAACTTGATTCTCCCAAGCTCATTTCTCCTCATGTACTTACTCCCTGCCTCCAGTTTCATCTTTCCTAAGAATTCTTTTGAGTTAGTAATGACCCTATAAGAATCTTGGAGTCATTGACAGTTGTAGGCAGATCAAAAAGGACTTTCCTAATATTTGTACTGTTTTACCACTGACAGAGTGGTTCTAATGGACATCATCTCTTAACCTTAACAAATATTCCTATTTTATAGATGAAGACACTGAAGCTCAGAAAAATAGCATGTTCATGTTTTCTATGCTTGTGAGTATTTGACCAACGATCTAAACAGGTCCCTTGACCTCACTCATTTTCCTAAAGCTCCATAATCAGGTCTCCAGAGTCCTTCAAAGTTTTTCCCAGCTGAAATTCCAGCCTTATCTCCATGTATTCTAGTATTGCAGCCAAACTGGTTTACTCCTCATCCATGTTTTTATTAAGTACAAGAATCTGTAGTTCATTAATTTTCCCTGCTGGCCCAGAATGCCCAGCTACCTCAATCCTGCTTGCCCACATCTCATTGGCATTTTTCTAGCCTTTAGTCCTGAAAATCTGCTTCCCTTTTAAATATATCTGCCAACTCATTCTTGTATTTTATTTATTTTTTTAAAGATTTTATTTATTTATTAGAGATACACAGAGAGAGAGAGAGAGAGGCAGAGACACAGGCAGAGGGAGAAGCAGGCCCCATGCAGGGAGCCTGACGTGGGACTTGATCCCGGGTCTCCAGGATCACAACCTGGGCTGAAGGTGGTGCTAAACCACTGAGCCACCCGGGCTGCCCCTCATTCTTGCATTTTAAAACTTAGATTGTTTTTACTTATTTATGAGGTCCTCAACTAGAGAACTGTTTAGGGAGTGAATAATATCTTACTGCTTATCATATTCTCTACTATCACCTAATACGATTTTTATCACATAAACTACAAATATTAGTAGATTTATTTTGTGCTTAAAACTTAGGACCATATAGTACTTCATTATACAATTCCATGCATGTTAACCAGGGTTGAAACTCCTCATTTTGGTTCTTATTCACCAAACAAACTGGTGCTCTCTGAAGAACAGAATCAGCTACATAGAACCATATATATATATACACACAAAACACCACTAATCATAACCATGAGATGGGAAGAATTATTCCAGGAATTCAAAAGTCTAGCAAAACAGGGGAAACTAGTTCTTGTTGTACACACAATGTAGTTGAGGGAGGTACTTATGGTTTCCTAGGAATTCTTATGATTTAAAGTTTACAAAACATTTTCAGAACTTTCTGATGCTCCTGATCACTGGGAGTTAGGCCAGGGAGATATTATCTAAGTATCAGATAAGAAAGCCTCATGCTAAAAGTTAAGCAACCTGGCTTAATATCCTAGAGCCAGAAAGTAGAAATGCTAGGACTTGAACCCAAACATGCAGGCAGTTCTAAGGTGAATTTTCAGATTCTTACTATGTGCAAAACACAGCCGTAGGCTAGGGAAACTAGCACAGTAAAGCATATAGCCTCTGCTCCTTTTAAAAAAATGGATATTTCTTTTTAAAATTTCAGGTTCATTGAAGTACAACTGACAAACAAGACTGTAAGGTATTTAAAGTGTACATTTGATATACATATACATTGTAAAAGTATCCCCCCCACCACCTATCTTGTTCCTTGGTGGCCTCACATATTGATAGTTTCTGTCCTTGAGAAACTTATAGTATAGGAGGCGAGAGATTCATTTATTCATTTATGAGTTAAGCCCTTAACTGTTACTTCCAGGGGCTAAATAGTCAAGCGAGACAAGTGTCCTCCCAGCATGACGCATCTATGCATGTCAGAGAATCAGGTCCATTTCAAGGTACAATAGAGTACGAAGGTAAGGCCTGTCGATTGTACCCCAACAGGGCTGCAGTCGAAAGATTTACAGAGGAAGTAACTCGAGTGGAGACTGTAAAGAGGAATGAGTGTTCTCCAGGCAGACAGGTTAGAGAACGGAATTTGTCACCGAAGGAATAAACTTCACAAAAGGTAGAAGAGTTTTGAGAAAACGCTTGCAAGGTAGAGATCAGCAAGACTGCTCCAGCCTTTTGAACCAAGGGTAAAGTTTATCCTGCCTGATGAAAGCCATTGAAGTATTTTTGAAGAGGGGCGTGATGGCATCATTACATATGCATTTTTAATACAAGGTGGAAAAACTAAGTGCTATAATTGGAGGTTCAAATAGCATTTAAGGGAGCATGAAGAAAGCCCTTTGAACGAAGTCCTCCTCCTATATATATTTTTTCATTTAAAAATAGAGATGAGGTATAAATATAGATAGAAAGTGAAAGGTTGCCTGTGCTTGTCA